GGAGTGCATTTTATGCCGCAGATTATTACTATTATCTCATATTGCGGCACAGGATGATGGGGGTGATGTACCTCCCCCTCTCCCTGTTCATCTTGGGGGCAGAGAACATGTTCCACTCAGGGGTGTGGAGACCACAATCCTGACTATGAACTATGACATACTTTAAATTAAGTGAACAACATACCGAGATTCGAGGGTGCCGGGATTACTCTCAACGAGCCGTTTCACGCACTGAAGGCCTGTCCATGGCAAGCTCTGACAGGCACAAGGGACCCTGGGCTGCTCAGGAGCATGGAACCTCAATCCAGCAAGGAGAGTCTTGACATTCTACGGCTGCCTCTTCTTTTTCAGCTGGAGCCATCTTCTCTGTCATGGTGGAGATTTTCCGTCCTGATGCAAGACCATCCGCCCTGGCCGTGGCCGGCTTGTTCAGCTGGGCAGGCCTCTTCATCACCGGCATAGGCTTCCCCTTTGTGGTGGTAAGTTGGACTCAAGGTTAGGAGTCCACAGCAGGGGTGGGATTCAAAATTTTTAACAAGCGGTTCTGTGGGTGTGGCTAGTGGGCATGGCTATGTGACTGGGTGGGCGTGGCTTTTTTTGCAGCAACCCCCCCACCCCTCCATTTTGGGGCCTTCAAGGAAGCCTCCTGAGGGGGGCGCATTTTTTCTCCCAGAAGGCTTCCCTGGGGCCCAGAAAGGGAAAAAAACATCCCTGTCCTAATGTACCCTTTTTATTCATATCAATTTCTTGTATTAATAATCATTTTTATTCTTATATCTGTTATCGAATACATATTTGACTAAATAAATAAACAAACAAACAAAATTGAATAAATAAATAAAGTCTAGGCCTTTCTGAACTCTCTTAAATTTGTCCAACCTCTTCTTAGTTTGAGCCACTGACTTCTTTGTCCTTCTTGGAGACTATGTGATGGGGACTTTCTTATTGTCCAACTCCACCCATTGTCCATCAGATTCACTCAGTGTCTTGGATTTCATTAGATTTTCAGTTCTCCAGTGTTTTCCCCCTTCCAAACAACTATGCAGAGGAGATTGTGGTTCTGGGAAGGGAGACTTTCTGGAGAAAACCAAAATGTGACTTGAGGTTAGACAGCCAATCTGTCACCTCTACATCTTTACACCTTTACTTTAATCTGTCACATTCTCACCCTTCCTAGAGTCCGGCAAGGCCTCAGTTGCACCTCAGTTTCCTCTCTAAATCTCTGCCAAGAAACTCATCCTAACCTTTGATTTTCTGTCCTTAGGAGGCCCTTGGTCACTACTGCTTCCTCATCTTCTTCGGTGTGCTCATCGGAATGGGACTTTTCACCTACCTCTTCATTCCAGAGACAAAGGGGAGGTCCATCCTAGACATCACAGAAGACCTCAACAGGATCCCTCTGTGGAAGAGGCGCACATTACCTGCTCTGGAAAACAGCTCTCCCCATAGGAGCCACAGCCTCTGCACCAAGTTATGACCACAGCCCTGCGATCTCTGCAAAGGAAGGCTTTGACGCCCTAAGCCAAAGAGAATCACCTGGGTGAAGGAGGAGGGAAGCAGGTAAGGTGCTCCTGACGGGATCAGGGCAGCCAGGAAGAAGCTTCCCTCACGTGCTTCCCCTCCTTCCATCGGAGCCGGAAAGCCAAGATTCTTCATCAGGCATGACAGGCACAACTCTGGGGACTATGAAGCTTCCAGGGTCTACCACAAAAGCCTTAACTTAAAAAAAAAATTAAACTAATATCACAACGTGTGTATCCTAACATTAAATATATTTAAAATATTATTACCATTTGATTATATTTATATTTGCTGCAATGGGCCAGAGTGGATGGGATCACTTTGACTCAATGGATGAATTCTGACCAAGCCTTGGCGGGATGGAGGCACGTAGTTCCCCTCCACAGATGTTGATTCTGTCCTTATTGTTCTGTATTTACTGCATTAGCATTCTTGTAATACTTGATTCTGATTGGCTAGAACACACCGCACTCGGATTGTCTGATTAAGCCGCAGTGATTGGCCCGTTGCGAATCACCCGCAATTGGATAACCCGATCGCGGGAGATTCGAAACGATGTCATTGGCCGCGGCGCCGAAGGCAAGTTCTATATAAGCCGCCACCGATCCGAAGCCGAGCTGAGCCGATGTAAGCACACAATAAAAAGAGCTTGAAAATAACTGTTCTCGCGTCTCTCCTTGGGACCGATCTACTGATGTAACACTTATAGCCTACATCAACCTGGGTGCAGGACTAAGCAAAGAAAATTAGATATATAATTTATATTAAAGAAATTTCTGGAAGAATAAAAACAATAGAAATTATGAAAGAAAAAAGTAAGGAAAATAAATAAGTAATATGCAAATGTAAATAAAAAATACAGAATAGAAAGAAAAGAAAAGAAAAGAAAAGAAAAGAAGAAAAGAAAAGAAAAGAAAAGAAAAGAAAAGAAAAGAAAAGAAAAGAAAAGAAAAGGGGATTGGAGGCTAAAACATACAACAAACAGTTGCAGGAACTGGGCATGGCTAGTCTAGGGAAGAGAAGGACCAGGGGAGACAGGATAGTGATCTTCCAATATTTGAGGGGCTGCCACAGAGAGGAGGAGGGGGTCAAGCTATTTTCTAAGGCACCTAAAGGCCAGACAAGGAACAATGGATGGAAGCTGACCAAGGAGAGATTCAACCTGGAAATAAGAAGAAATGTTCTGACAGGGAGAACAATCAATCCATGGAACAGAAGTTGCCCTCGGAAGTTGTGGGAGTGCCATCACTTGAGACTTTCAAGAAGAGATTGGACTGCCATTTGTCAGAAATGGTGTAGAGTCTCCCGCTTGGGCAGGGGGTTGGACTAGATGACCTAACAAGGTCCCTTACAACTCTGATTATCTGTTATCTGAAAAAGTTCGAGAGATGTGGCTTCTGGTCTTCTTAACCGCAGAGAACAAGGGCATTTATAGTTTACCTTCTCTCTCTCTCTAAGGTTGCCTGACAAGTTCCTTCTTTCCGTAATTTGCCCTTTTTAATTATCAAATACATAAATCACAAGGTCACTTTTTCATGTTTCAACAAAAAGTCCACCAGAGGTTTCCAGCCACTAATAAATGTAATTATTATCCTTTCTCTAATCAAGTAAGCCAATTTTGCCAACTCTGATTTTACAAAGGATCCGTGAGTCTAAAACTACAGGTACTTTTGTTTTGTAAAAACCCTACATTTCATCAGATGTCAATTCTAGTGGCCGGGCATGAAGAAAGATGTAGAGCAGGGGTGTCCAACCTTGGTAACGTTAAGCCTGGAGGACTTCAACTCCAGCAAAGCTGGCTGGGGAATTCTGGGAGTTGAAGTCCTCCAGGCTTAACGTTACCAAGGTTGGACACCCCTGATGTAGAGGAATACATGGTTAGTCGTCCTGTGTGTTCATCAGCAAAAGGGCATGCTGGAAAGCAGCAAGGACAATTGCAATCAGTTGCTAGTCCTACAACACCCTGGAAGGAGATATTTATGGACTTTACTATTTGAAAGCTCAGGAAACACTGTAATTTGAGTCACCACCAAATCTATTCTCAAAACAGGTACGTTTTGTGGCATGCCCCAAGATCCCATCTGCAGGAACCCTCACAACACATCTATTGCCTACACGAGTTCCTAAAATTATTAGGGACTACTGAAGGACTTGGCTCTTCATATCCCCTTCAGACTCATAGTGCCTAGGAACACATTAATGGCCTGTTGGAGCAATACCTCAGGCATTACATCAATTAGCAACAAGAATAATTGATCTGATTTTCTCCCTTTGCAGAAATAGCATACAACAATTCAGTATGATGGCCAGAAAGGATTTTCTCTAGCCCTTCGGCAAAGTTACTTAAATTCAATTTAAATATAAGAGAAATAATCCTGATAGTAATATACAACAGTGAACCAGCCTTCTCTGGGAGGTTGTGAATTTTCCATCTCTGGAAACATTTCAGAGGCCGGAAAGCCACTTCTCATGTATAGTTTAGAACAGTGATCCCCAACTTTACTGGTTTGGTGACCTAGGGGGAGGGGGGAGAGGGAATGGTTCTGTGTGAGTGGTAGGCATGCACATGAGTGCACGCAGCTTCATTTGTGCAAGTGGAGGGCACATGTGTGAGCATGAGCACCCATCGCTGGCGCAAATGGAGCTATGCGCAAACACGAGCACACACCACTCGTACAAGTGGCGCTGCACATGTATGTGCATGCTCACCTGCCACTTGTGTGGCCTGGCTCTAAATGGGTCATGACCCACTAGTGGGGGCCCTGGTTTAAAGGGTTTTCCTGCATACTGCAGAGGCTGGACTAGATGATCCTTATGGTATGTTCCAACTCAACAATTCTGTGATTCTGTTATTCAGGACAGCCCTGATGTTCTCTGCCTCCATGTTCTACATTCAGGCAGGAGAGTATCTTGGAGCTGTGAGCCTTCCTGAACCAAAATGGCGAGGATTCGTGAGCAGAGTTTATAACTAGAAAAGGAAGGAGATTTATTTACAGGAAATGGATAATAAGGTCTGGCCACCCCATTCTCTCAGACGGAGAGCCCTGGAGTGTGTGTCCATGCATGTGCCTGGGAAGGAAGGCGACATTGGGACACACAGAAGGGGCACATTGGAAATCCCCTTTTCAGTTGCCCCCCACAGGTTAGCAGGACATGAGGGGGCAAGGAATCAAATGTGGTTTGGACTTCCAACAAATTAAAACCAAAAAGCAAAGCAGGAGCGCTAGCCTTGCAAGCTGGTAAGTTTAGATTTCATGCCTAAATGAGTTTCAACTTTCTACCGTCAAGCATTCCACTCTTTTATTCTGCATGTATTAAATGGATGAATTATCCAACAGTCTCGTCTTACCCAATGAGCAAGAAGAACCAAAACAGGCAAGGTTAATGATCACTCCGCTGTCGTGGTTCCTGTAGCTCAGAGGAATGAAAACCAACTGACCTTCCTCACTCAAAGCTCTTTGCTGAAGTGGAGCTACGGGATGATGCAGGGGCTCTTCTCCAACCTGGTGAGTAGGCAGGCAGTAAATGTGGCAGTCTGCAGCAGAGGCCCATGGAGCCCAAGGGCTTACTGGCCCATCCTGTGCGGCCCCTGCAGTCCACCTCGGGACCTCCTGCTGGCTCCAAGGTCAGGATGGCGTCTTCCTGTAAGGCTCTGTGGCTTTGTCCAGCATGCTGTGGATTGGCCTCGTGGTTGTTTGGCTGGTTCTAAGAGAGTCTAGCTGCCATCACCCACTTGGTTCTCTTGTCCTATGGACCCACCCTACCTTGATACCATTGTTACCCTTCTACTCTCTTGTAGGCCCTTCCTGCTGCTCAATGATTTAGCTCAAAAATAAGTGTAAGCCATAATCATAATCATCAAATCCATATAGCATAGAACACAGGATAATGGGGTTGGAGGGGGCCTTGCAGGTCTTCCAGTCCAGTCCCTTACCCATAGATCCCATTTTGGGCAAATGGCTGCCCAATCTTTTTGAAAACCTCCAGTGATGGGGCACCCACAGCTTCTGGAGGCAGGCCGTTCCGCTGGTTAATTGTTCTCACTGTTAGGAACTTTCTCCTTAGATCTCCTTGGATCTCTCTTTAACGATCCATCATCATTATGATATGAATGGTGATGATTATTAATTATGATATTATATTTAATGACCCCTCATGCTTCCTGCCACGGAAAGCAATTCTAATCAACTTCTGGGCATGTTTCCTTCTTTGCTTTTCTTTTAAATTTTATTGGTTTTTAAAAACAAACATAAACAAACAAAACATAAAAACATCAAGCTGTCTTCCATAGGTGTACATACAGTGTGCCGGTTGGTTTACAAATTGTTTTGTGCTTCCATTTCGTAGTCTTCAATTACAATTACATTACATATAATCTCATATTGTCAATCAAAAACTAAATACCTTAGTATCATTATTAATCAATCATTTGACTACACTTTTATTCATTCATGTTTTACAAGATAACCATAATTTACTTAATTTATTGTATAACAGTTCATATTATCATCCCAAATCTATCCTAAAATCACTTTGTAGTTATAATAAGAAAGAAGTATATCTTTATATATTTATTATTTTCTAGAAATCTACATATTTCATGACTGTACTTTGTTATCTAACCATTGATAGAAAAGATCCCGAATTTTATAAAATTGTTTATCCTCTTGTTCTCTAGTTTCAAATGTCAATCTACTCATTTCAGCACATTCCAATATTTTCTTAACGATTTCCTCCTGTGATGGTATCTTCTGGACATGCTTCCTTCTAATCACAGGATGTGGGGTTCTCTAACCTAGAGTACCCCCATGTTCCCTCCCCACTGCGCATATTTTTAGAACTTCCCAAAGTTAGAGAACCTTCTGAAAGAATCTGACCGGGGGAAACGTTTTGCTTAAGAGAATCCATGCTTTGCTCTCTCTCTCTACAGGATCCTTACCAGAAGTTCTTTCAGATGATCCTTGTCCTGGGGATTGGTGGGAACTTTATCATTGGCTACCAGATTTCCGTGATCAATTACCCATCTGTGGTAAGAGATACCTTAAAGTTGGTTGATTGGGAGGCAGAGACCCCTCTGCCAGGTACGGTTAGAGTTAGGGTTCATCCAAGCTTCCTGTCTTTTCTGGATCCAGAAATAGGTGTCTCCCCACAGCCCCAACCCCACCGTCGTGGATTAAGAAAATTCTCTTTCTGCATGTTGAACAACAGTGTCATTCTAAGTCAGATGAAGTCGGGGAGACAGAAAGCAAGTTCAAGTGGATCTGCAATCTGCCCCTCATCTCCGTATTGATGGACGTATTTGGCTGATAGGAGGAAGTGAACCTTAAGGCCAGAATGGCTTTGAGTTAGCCGCTTGCCCTGATAGGTCACCGCCAAAGTGCTGAGCGACCCCTCAGTCAGGAGAGAAATAAATAGTCGGGACGTGATGGGGCAGGACTGGTCTGCTTCCCTTTGAACTTCTTTCCGCAGCCTGCCGACTCTAGGATGGAGCCAGTCCTGAGCCCCGTGGGCTCTTCCTCATGGCTGGGTAGCCTGCGTTCTTCCAGGCATCTGATCTGGCAGAAAAGCAGGCAAGCCCCAAGCTGTCCTGCCCCCAAAGCTCAGCTTCCTTGCTCCCCATTATTGGCTATTTAAGTCAGCCAGAGGAGTTTTAATCTTTGCTTAAGCTCATCTGCCCCTCGGATGCAGATCAGTGGCTCCCTCCTACTTCATTTGGCTCCTGCACAAATTCCCACTGACTCCTCAGCCCGAAAACTTGCTTTTCCATGTTTATTTTGCAAACGGTATGTGTCAATCGGGCCAGAACCCTCATGGATGTGGATGTTGCTTCATCCCAATCTTTTCCCATAGCACTAGTGCTTTGGCTAAATAAATACATAAGTACATTCTGGGCTGATAGGCCTGCTCTGTGCAAGCCAGATGCCCTGTCTCTCTTGCAGCTAAGCCCAAACGGACATCAAAAGGAAGCAGACCAAAAGACCCACCTGCCCATAAGGCTGGGGCTCAGACAGGCTCCCACGTCACTCAGTGCACTTCCTAACCAACCACCCGACAGTTGAGAGATTCCTGGTTAAAGGCAACAACAACAACAGCAACAACAACAACAACAACAACAACAACAACAATATAGGTTGCAAAAGGTAAGTGTCCACCTCTCTCCCAAGCAAGCCAAAATGTCCAGCAGCAGACAGACTTCAGGAGCTGGACTTTGTCCTCTGCACCATGACTGGCCATATCACCAATGCGTTGTGTTGGTTCATGTGGCAAGACTTGGGATGGGAGAGACTCTTTTAGTAGGATTAGACAGAAGATGTAGATGTAGTAGGATGTAGAACTACTACAGCACAAGAGAAATGAGCACTCCGCAAAGCCAGAGCTGCAAATGCTGCAACAATGGTGCCCATACATGCCTGCCCGACATAAGGCAGAACATTCCGTGCCCATATAGGCCTTACTAGCCACCTGTGGACACACCATGGACAGCTCATAACCTGTTAGATGTCAAGGTCCTCTTCAAACACGATGGACGAGCATCATCAGTTGGTTCATATGACAAGATTTGGGGTGGGAGAAAACTGTTTTAGTAGGATGAGACAGAGGAAAGGACAGACACGCAAGGAAAGCAGCAGAAGTCTTTCTTTCTCTCCCCTCAAACTCTGCCAGAAATGAGTCTTTGCCGGCGCAGCCTCTTGGAGCAGGAGGCCTTGCAGAGTCCCAAAGACTCATTTCTGGCAGAGTTTGGGGGAGAGAAAGAAACACTTTGGCTGCTTTCCTTGCGTGCAGCCAAAAGCAGAAGAAGAAAGAAGCAGAAAGAAGCAGCCCGGTAGCCAGGCAAGTTCCCCCCTCCGCCCTTCCCCCCTCCCCTCACTACCTCGTGTTGTTCCTAATGCAAGTGACACAAGCCTTGCCTTCCCGTGAGCCATGTGGGCGGCGCAGCCTTGTGTTCCCCCGCAGCCTGGATTCATTGCTTTGGGGGGGGGGGTGCTTTGGGGTGGCATTTCTCTGAGGACCACCAACATTTTCTCGCGGACCACCTGTGGGCCATGGCCCACCGGTTGGTGACCCCTGGATTAAAAGACCTCCAAGACCTTCTCTTTCAACTCTGTTATTCTGTATTCTCTTCTGATGAAGCCCTCACAGACGCAGGAGGCAGGCTGGCCCACTGCTTCCTAGCCCCAAGAGCCCAATAGTCAAACCAACCCTCCAACCCCAAAGGTTGATAGTTTCTTGGGTCTGGAACCTCAGACTGAAATGCTACAAATTCCTTTTCAAAGGGATATTTATTATAGCAGATGGTACTATATATATATATATGTATGTATGTATATATGTATGTATGTATGTATGTATGTATGTGTGTATGTATGTGTGTATGTATGTATGTATGTTATTCAGCTTTGTTCGAGTATTTTCCCACGTCATTGTAGTTGTGCTTTTAAAGTTGTAGCAACGTTTCGGCAGAATCTCATCTGCCATCATCAGGCTTCTGTATACATGCTTACTCTGAGAAGCACAGAGCAGAAGACACAAGCCTGAAGATGATGAATGAGACTTCATCGAAACATTGCCTAGCTACTTCCAATCTTACGCAGGAGAAAAGCCTTGGTTTTACACCAGGTTTGCTCAGATACTTTCACATTGTAGGCTTGTTGTGCAATGCAGCCAGCCACAGCTCAGGGGAGGGGCAAAAAAATTCCTGTACTGTGTGTACAGTAAATTAACAGTAATTTGGTCTGGAGAATCATCATCATCATCATCATCATCACCATCAGGCTTTTGGCTGATGTCTCTTCTTCTCTCTGTTCTCAGTACATCAAGAGGTTCATGAATGAAACCTGGCTGGAGCGCACTGGATCCCCCCTCAATGAGAAGACACTGCTCTTCCTGTGGTCATTTGCCGTGTCTGTCTATGGCATAGGAGGTGTGCTGGGATGTCTTTGCAGCGGATTCCTGATCATGAAATACGGGAAGTAGGTGTGCTCAATAGACGCCAGAAAGCTGGCTACTTCCTTGGGGCTGAGCGGAGAAACAAAGGCATCCCTCAGTTGCAAAAGAAACCATTTTGGGCTGCTAGTCCAGAGAAAACAGGAGAGCCAAAATCCAGCAGGAGGGATCCACAAAAGAGAAGCTTGCAGTTGTTTTATAAACTTTCTTTTGGCCTAATAAATATAAGGAATCAATGGGCTTATTCAAAATGCAAATGCCAAAGGGATTTTAAAGGGGATGTTTCCTTCGTTGGCCCTGCTAGCACCTGGGATGCTGCCTCTGTCTTAGAAAGTCACCCTGAGTCACTCTTAAAACTTGTTCTCGCACACTTCTGATTTGACTCCCTGTCGCTTTTAGGTGGGCAGGGATCTTTCCCAGTGGGTGGTACCTGGAGGTCGAGGGCTTTGAGGGAGCAGTGGATGGAGCCAGCCCCACGGAACAGGCTTGCAGGCAAGGCAGCCCAAGGCAGTGAGGTGGCTAACGTGGTTACTCTCTCTCCTCCCCCTTCTCTTGGCCCATGGACACAGAAAGAAATGCCAGCTGAGCACGGACCTCCTGGTCATCCTGACGACCGTAGTCATGGTCTGCAGCAAGAGAGCCAAGTGCTTTGAAATGATTCTGCTTGGACGATTCTTTTACGGGATCAGTGCTGGTAAGAGGCCTTGGAAGGCTCGGCTTTAATGTGGCTTTTAACATTCTCCGGGGAAAGCTCAGGGGCCCAAAGTCAGCCAGCCTTCCATGAAATCCCAGGAAAAGAAGGCGGCGGTTGCTGAGCCCACTTCCCCTGATTCTCATGGGGACAATTAACTGGCCAGCCTCTGGAAGAAGGAGGCCATGGACCGCATCCATCAGAGCTCTTCTTCTCTTCCAACTTTCAGAATAATAGAGCTGGAAGGGACCCTGGTGGTCTTTTAGTCCAACCCCTGCTCAAGTAGGAGACCCTATACCATTTCTGACAAGTGGCTGTCCGGTCTCTTCTTAAAAACCGCCAATGATGAAGAACCCACAACACCTGAAGGCCAGCTGTTCCACTGGTTGATTGTTCTCACTATCAGGGAGTTTGTCCTTCATTCCAGGTTGCTTCTCTCCTTGATGAGTTTCCATCCATTGTTTCTTGTCTTGCCTTCTGGTGCTTTGGGTCATAGTTTGACCTTCTCCCCTCTTCTTTGTGGCAGCCCCTCAAATACTGGAAGATGCTATCATGTCCCGTTCCCCTCCCCCCCCAGTCCTTCTTTTCTCTAGACTAGACATACCCAATTTCTGCGACTGTTCTTCATACTTTAGTCTCCGACCCTTAATCACCTTAGTTGCTCTTCTTTGCATTCTTTCCAAAGTTGCAACATTTTCTTTTTAATAACATGATAACCAAAACTGGATGCAGAATTCCAGGTGTGGCCTTACTAAGGTTTTATAAAGTGATACTAATATTTCGTGTGATCTTGACTTTATCCTTCGGTTATGCAACCAAGGATTGCATTGGCTGCTGCTGCACACCACTATAAATGATTGTCCACTAGGTCTCCAAGATCCCTCTCTGATGACCTGGGCAATTGGCTAATGATGGCGGCAACAGGGGAGCCTGTATCAGTTTCTGGGGAGAAAAAGTTAAAAGTAACTTGTAACATGACATGAGCACTATCTGGACCCTCCACTGAAAAACCTCCGGGTGCCTCCTGTGATCTGAAGCAGTTCTTGTCATCTGCCTAAGCCGGCAAACAACTCTGGGACACTGTGGTTATTTCAAATTTCGTTGGTTTCTGTCTGTCCTCCCTTTCTCCTTCCTTTCCTTCTAGGCCTCTGCCAGACCATTCATTCTCAGTACGTTGGAGAAATTTCCCCCAAGAAATGGAGAGGACTTGCAAATGCTACCTCGGGATTCTTTTGGTCTCTGGGGAAATGCTGGGGCCAAATCTTGGGACTCAGGTACAGAAGGGTGAGGAAAGAGGGAGGGGGCTGCTCCTCCAACCCCCAACCTCCATTCTCCTCCTCTCCAGGGAGCTCCTGGGAACGGATTCATCCTGGCCTCTGTTGCTGGCCTTTCCCGGTGTGGCAGCCTTCCTCCAGCTGCTCCTCCTGCCCTTCTTCCCCGAATCTCCTTCTTATCTCTTAATCCAGGAGGGAGATGAGGATGGCTGCCTGAAAGGTAAGTTGTCCTTAAAAAAAAAATTGGTCTCACCTCAGAATAACCGAAGTGGAGCTGGTCTTGGCAAATGTGTTGTCCAAACCTTTGACTGGCCAGGATTAAGGAACGGTTGGTTGATGGTAGGCACTTCAGCTTCCTTGCCAGTCTGTGCATCATCACTGTCTTCTTCATTATCATTATCTAGTGCTTCTTTTGAACGGTCCAGAATGTGTTGTGCCCTAAGGATGTTGTGTGAATGTTAAAGGGAAAGGCTAAATATGTATGGGAAGTACTTGGTAGAATTCTGATCAATGTAATGACAATGGCAGTCATGAAACATAATCCTTAAACAATCCTCCTGTTGGCCCTTCGCTCACCTGGAACAGAGTTGCCGGCCTGCAATCTGTGGCTGTCATAAGAACAGAAAAATTGGGGTGATTGCGTTCTTACTGCCACAGGGTCACCTTTAAGAGAGGTTCTTACATATGTTTTATCTATTTTATGCACTCCTTGTGGAGCCTTTTTGGATGCTTCATCTCCTGGAACTTTTCTAAAAACTTGGGTGCAAAACGAGGAGAGGCCACCAAGGAATAACCTGGTACAAGGGTGCTGTTGTCCACCATCATTCCAAGCAGTAACTAAGGCCTCATTCATAGTACAAGACCCTCAAGAACAACCCCGAGGTCCTTTTGAAATCCAGCATGGCCCATTAGGTACCCAAAGTGGACCAAATTGAATGTTTCCAAGGCCCTACATCAGCGAGCAGCTGTGGAGAACTACAAGGCCATCAAAGAGTGATCTAATCATGTCAAGAGATAGATATCAAGATCTCCAGATCACGTTGCCACTGGCCCAAGACAAAAAACAGATTGAACCTTTGTCTCCTGCTAAGGCAAGTCCATGGTTGCCACAGCCAGGGAAGGCAGGTAAAATCTCCCAGTGTCATAAAGTTTGGGAAGCTCCACTGCCAATCAGGCAATTTAAATGTTTCTGTTTTTCTATCCAACTAAGCCCAGTCCTTCTTAGCAAGCTGTGAGCTAGGCAGGGGTCTCAACTTCCGCAACGTAAAGATCTGTAGATTCCTCAACCCCAAAGCGTCAAGTTGCAGAGGGGGAGAAACACTGAGCTACAGGACCAAGCCAAAAGGCAGCTCCTCCCCCCTGCCCCAGTCGGCTCCTCTCCAGGGGTGGGATTCCATTTTTTTTTAACTACTGGTTCTGTGGGCGTGGCTTGGTGGGCGTGGCAGGGGAAGGAGACTGTAAAATCTCCAGTTAGAGGTGGGATTGGCCGGTTCTCCAAACTACTCCAAATTTCCTGCTACCGGTTCTCCTGAACTGGTCAGAACCTGCTGAATCCCCACCTCTTCTCCTTTCCCAGTGACCGCTTAGAGGTCGGGGCAGCTGCCTGCAAGGATGAGAACTGCTTCTCTGGGGCTCTCGTGGCCTGTCAGGCCTTTCTGGCTGCGGGGCAAAGGGTGAAGGACTTGGCTAAGCTTCGTGGCCGGCATCTTTTCTCTTCCCCAGCAATGCACCAGCTGTGGGGCCAAGGGAATCACCAGGAAGAACTTGGGGAGCTGAAGAAAGAAATGGCCCCAGGAGGGCAAAGGAGCAAAGTGCTTTGGCCGGGAGAGCTGCTCCGTGATGCATCGCTTCGCCAGCAGCTGAGCATCCTCGTGGCCGTCATTGTCACTGTGCAGCTCTGTGGCATCAACACGGTTAAGTGTCCCTTCCTCACACAACCTCCATAGAATTGAGGGAGAACCAGCTGGGGCCTACAGCCTAGAAACTGCCCAGGCTGAAGGAGAGGGTGGCTAGCCAGGTTAGGGAAAGGGAAGACAGCATCTGGAGGGAGACGAACTGGGTTTATAATATGAAAAAGCTAACACCCCAAAAATGAATTAGCAAGGCAGCCCAATCTCTGCAAGAACTACAGCGGGGCAATTCCCAAACTTGCACAACTCCTGTGGCCAACAGTATGCCGTCTTGATTAAGACTGGTGGAACTGGCACCACCACATCTGGGGGAAGAGCAAGGGGCATCCTCCAGGCCCAGTTTGGGCAAGAGCCCAACTAGACAGTCCCTGGCACGTTTTTCACTCTGGGGCGCATGGTTTTGTCTCAGGCTGCACTGGGCTTTCTCCCGCCCATGTCCTGGGCTGCCCTCCAGGTCTCTAGGACAACTCACCGGTCAACTCACTGTGGCCAACTTGCCACAACCAACTTGCTGCGGCCAACTCACTGCAGGACAACTAGCTGCGGGACAAAATTGAAACTGCTTCTTGGCAATTATTAGTGTCTTCTTTTTCCCCACTTAGGTTTATTTCTATGCTTTCGAAGTGCTTCAGAGTGCAGGTTTAGAAGAGAGACTTATCCCCTACATCTGCCTGGGCATTGGCTTCTCTGAGCTCTTCTCGTCTTTCCTCTGTGTAAGAGCTTTCTAAATCGTTTGTTTTAGTCGGAAAAACCTTCCTCCCCTCCCAATGTCCCATTGCCGTTATGAATCTTCTTCTGCGTCAGTCACTATTCTCCTCACAGCCTCCTCCGTGATTTGGGTAGGAAGCCCAAACTCTTGCCGGAACCGCTTGAGCGGCCTGCCAGTTTCCGCAAAGCCTTTGGCCAGCCTGGGTCCTCTGACGCTGGACATCCTGGCAGGGCTTGGCCCCCTCGGGCCCCTTGGAGGAAGAGCCAGATTGCTCCTGGGCTAAACCCCAATCTGGATGGGGCTGTCTGACTGTGCCGTTCCACGGGATCGAGAGGCCGGAGGTGCTCGGGGCCACAATTCTCCCAAAAGGGAAAAAAGGACTGAGATGTCATTCACAGTAGCTTTGAATTTGACTATAAAGGTTCTGCTTGACACCTATTCTTTCCATTTAGATGCCAGGAAATCCTCCCGTGTTTCCCTTATTTCCCCTCTCCAGATATTTACCATTGAACAGTACGGACGGAGGCCGCTGCTATGGAAAGGCTGTGGGTCGATGGCCTTGGTGCTCTTCTTCCTCACGGGGACTCTTTCCCTGCAGGTAAGAAGAAAAGGCTTGTCCGGAAAGTCTTGTCTGTTTTGGCAGAGCAGGCAGCCTAGGCCAGGGGTCTCCAACCTTGGCAACTTCAAGCTGGCTGAGGAATTCTGGGAGTTGAAGTCCGCCAGGCTTAAAGTGGCCAAGGTTGGAGACCCCTGGCCTAGTTAGCCTCATTTCCTGTGGGAAATGAACGCTTAGTGCCATCCATCATGGGGAAATGCAGCCTCTTCACTTTAAGGTGAATATTTGTCGACATTGTTTTGACAGTCCCATATAATTCTAATGATCAAATCCTAAAATCTTTTTTCAGTTTCTCACAAAAAACTCCAGTAATGGCTTCCAGGCAGAAATAAAGTTTGTCAGAGTGTTTTTTTTCATCGAGGCTGTCATTTTTGCTATCTCTGTCAATTCCACCAGTTTCCCCATCCATTCTTCCATTGTAGGTCTTTACAAGTGCTTTGGGCCTTTAAAAATCTCAGTGCCGTCGTCACGTATAAAAGCAAAGGTCCATGAGATGACTCCCTCTGTTTGTCCATTAAACAGAAAAGAAAACCCTCTAATTTCAATCACCTTTAAAATCTCCTGCATCAAAATAACCCCAGGAGGCAGATTGGTCCACGGCTTCATAGCTGATCACCCCACAGCAGATTTAGAGCCAGGCTTTGACTCGCCTATTTCAGACACACACACACACCCATCTCTCTCTTTTCTCAGTCATTCCTTGCTGCATTTATTGAAATGTCTAGGGTCGTGGTTATGGGGGAAGGCTGGAAATCTGGCTGTTGTGAACCTCACAGGACAGGAAACGCAGCCACATTAACTAACTCCACTTAATTGTGTCAACTTGTAAAGCATTCCTGGCCTGCTGTCGAGTTGCCATAGGCACCGATGAAGCAGCATGGCAGCCGCAACCAGAAGCACATTCCACCCAATCTTGTTACATTAACAACTGCCAAAGAACTTAAGGAGTTCCTCCTGGGCCTCTTTCTCCACCCACTAGGCAGCTCTGGGCCATGCCCTCTCTTCTCTGACCTTTCTGGAGGCAGGATCCCTTCTCCCAAGGACTTTCCCACATACCACTTCATCACTCTGGGATGCTTGACTTGGGATCCCCCGCCCAGGGTAGGGTGTCAGATTTGATGGCCCTTCGGAGTCTGTTTTGATCAACTCTCCCAAACTGTTGCTTGATGATGAGACTGAACACAGCGGCCTGGGCTGCTGATGGGAAGGACTCCTGCAGCAGCGGTTGGAGTGCAGGCAGAGCGGTCAGCCATTTGAACCGTCTTCCAGGCAAGCTCCGCAGTCCTGGTGAAGCCTCCCGCTTTCCGAGAAGGATGCACTGACCAGAGAGCCCTGGGTTGGGGGGCAGGGCTGCTACACACCCCGGTCTCCAAAGCTTCTAGATTCCTTGTTCTTTTGTTTCCACCTCCAGAAAAACCTCCCCTGGATGTCCCTCTGCAGTGTCATCCTGATTTTCTTGCTTGTCATCCTCTTTGGAGTTGGACCAAGTGAGTATACAAGTCCTTCCACAAGGAGCAATGTGGAAAGAAAAATAGGCCTGATGGAGGGGGCGGAAGGAGGCGGGGGGGGAGGGGTCCTGCCAAGCCACAGCATTGGTGGAGATAAATAAAGGCAGGAGCGAAGGGGTTTTAAGCAGCCAAGGGGGAGGGCAGGCCTGGGTAAGAACAAAGTGCCACAGGTGGAACAGAAATGCTTTGTTGGAAAAAAAAATCCAGGTCCTGTTCCAAGCTGGGAATAAAATGGGGGCTGCTTAAGAAAGTTTATGCTGTTGGTGGTTCTGGGACAGCTGACAAATTGGTTGAATGAGCAGTTGGATCTTTACAGGGTTCTGTGATGCTACTGGGGGTTGTGCAATATAGTGAGCTTTGTGTCTTTTTTGTTATTCTAATGGTGGTAGTAGTTTAATCCTATTACGTTCTAAAGTCCTGTTCTTAGAATTTGGGTGGAGAAGTAAATTTTAATCCCATTTGCTGGAGATGAAGGTGTTTTGTTTGTGAGTAGGCTGGCCCAGTCTTAATGGGCACAAAATATCCATCTCTAAAGACGCTGCTGGAGGCTATTAAGAAAGGGCTGCTTTCTGCCTTTAAGAACATGTTTCTCCATTTCTCCTTTATAATATTCTGTCTCTTTAATATTCCCCAAAATATTTCATTCTCTAGGAATGGGGGGGGGGGCGGTGTTTCTCCACAGCTTGTATCTCATGTGACCAACCCAATTTGGCCACCTTTCCTGCAATGAGTATTAACTATGAGTTACTTATAAAAAATACTAAAGGCGGAATGAAAGAGGGCGGGAGAGATTAAATAATCTCCCAGTGATTCTGAGTGGTTAAGAAACTATTTAAAACCAAAAAAATATTTAAACCAAAAGGGGGAGAGATAGCAGAACAACAAAGCGAGTGCAAGCAAAAGCAAACAGCCTAACAGAAACAGGGCTCCAGATCCTCCCTGCCAAAGGCCTGGAAAACAGCCGGGTCATCAGGCCCTTCAAAACCCCAGCAGGGAGGGGGCCATTCAAATCTTGAGGGCAGCCTCCCTCCACAGGGCAGTCCCAGTTTCTCAGGTGGCCCCTGGGGAAAACCAACCACCCCTGCGCTAAGCAGGGCTGCTTGATGGCGATCAGTAAAAACTATAAGGATGAAGAACTATAGATTTTCACGCACGCCCCATTGCCATGTAGTACTGTTTTAGTTGTTACTATTCATTTATTAATGTTTATTAATTTATTAAACAAGTTTATATGGTCGCCCAACTCACACAGAGTGATTCCGGGCAGCTTATAGCGATTAAAAATCTGCAACATAAACCCATCACCATCACCAACCCTGCCTCAGCAGTGGCAACAGATATGTTCACATCAGCCCAGGGGTCTCTAGACCTGCTGACGGAACATCTTCTGGGCCTTCCAGAAAAGTAGAAAGGTTGGGGGCAACCTTATCTCTGGGGGAAGGATCAGGCCCTTTTTCTTGGTCCTGCCAGAGGCACTTCTTTCTGCACTTCATTGGGTAGACCCGCATCGGATAGATGTAACTGGGAAGGTAAGGTCCTTTGAATAACCTGTCCCCAAGCCACTTTAAAGTGACAACTAGCACCTTGAACTGCATCCAATGCAGCTCCTGCAAAAGAGGTGACATCTGCATAAATCTGGGCTTGTGCAAAACTGGGCAGGCTGCTGCATTTTGAAGCAACTGAAGCTTCAAGGGGAGCTCATTCCAATAGTCCAAGCAAGAATTGATCGGAGCGTGAGTGACTATGAGAAGGGCACGTTGACCAGGAATGGATGTAACTGGTGTGCCACTCACAGTTGTGCAAAGGCCCTCCTGGCCAACTGCCACCTGCTCCTCCCTCAGGATTCATGAGTCCAGGAGGACCTCCAGACCGCTGGTCTGTGTGCAGCAGTGCAACCCCACCCAGGAGCAAAGATAGTAATTCTTCCTCTGTGCAACCCTCTGCCTACACGTCTCGCCAGTTTCTGATACTGAGAGGTGTTGGATCATCTGGGAAAAGGAGACTTATGCTGTCCGATGGGATCTTCTGACCTGGAGGCAGTTTCTGGAGGCTAATAAGATTCCATTCATGGTGTGGACGGACCACAAGAACCTGGAGGCGTTGAAGGCCCAGAGGAAGCTGTCCCCTGAGCAGGTCCGATGGGCTCAGCATTTTAACCGCTTCGATTTCACCCTTCGCTACTCGCCAGGGGGGAAGAAGTTTCTAGCAGATGCCCCCTCTCGCATGCTCCAGTACAAAAATGCCAGAGAGGAAGCAGTTATCTTGATCATCCCACCCAGGCAGCTCACAGGGCCAGGGCTTACGAGGCAACAGAGAACAGCCTCTCTGCAACCAGTTGGAGATGCGTTGACAAAACCGCCTTGGGGACGGATGGATGGTTCCAGAGACATAAGATGACCTGATGTCAAAGGAGGCATGGAAAGAGGGTAAATTGTATGTCCCAGCCAGCCGGAGAACCTTGGTCCTGCTGAGGAGCCATGAGGCAAAACCCACAGGGCATTTTGGATTCCTGAAGACCCTTCATTTGGTAAACAGCCCATTTTAGTGGCCAAAAATGAGAAAGGACATAAAGGCCTATGTGGCCAGTTGCCCCGTGTGCGCCTCCATGAAACATCTATAAGGGAAACCAATCCAGCTAAACCGTGGGCGGAGTTGCCCAAGAGTGCTGGGAACACATCTGGATTGTCATCGACTTGTTTTCGAAGCAAGCACATTTTGTGGCATGTCCCAAGATTCCTTCTGCCCAGCCCTAGCCAAGGTGCAACAATCTACCAACTACATGGGGTCCTGAAGCATATACGGTATGCTCAGACAAGGGGGCGCAATTCACTGCAAAGTTTTGGCAGGAATTCTTGAAAGTGATAGGTTCCTCCCAGAGACTTAGCTCCACCTATCATCTGAGTACCGATGGAGCTGCTGAACATGCCAACTCATTAGTAGGGCAATACCTGTGCTATTTATGTAAATTATCAGCCGACTAATTGGGCAGAATTTCTGCCTTTTGCAGAGGTGGCACAGGGAAATAACTATGCTTGCATTTGCATGGGAAATCCAGAGCTGGTTTCGCTTCTTCTGTGCCAATGTAGTTTTTCAGTAAAGTAATTTTACACTCTTGGTAAAATTATGTCCTGGGAGTTTCCTTTTTTTGGAAATGCCAACTGGACAGTTGAACTGTCATCTGCACCCATTGCAGACAATGACATAAATGGATGCAAATAAGGTAAGAATATCAATTATGGAAATGACCTAAGTTGATACAAATGATGTAAAAGTTAATTTTGCAATTAAGATTTGACTGCCACTGAACACCCCTTGCCCTCAATACTCCATTAAATTGAACTGAAATAAATGAAAATTAGCATCTGATAGAGTTATTGGTGACTAGGCTTGGGTTTTTTTTTTTTTTTTTTCCATTTCTGGATGTTATTGTTGGTGTTTTTTGTTTATTGGCCCAAAGAAGGCTGTAGATTGACATGCCATTGCTAATGGCTCTCCAGATAAATGAATTCTTGGGTTAAACAGGGTCTCCCTGGGTCTGAACCTATTTCTCTATGTTGTCCCTCTTAGATGGAGCCTCATTCTCTATTATGATGGAAATTTTCAGCCAGTCCGCCAGGCCAGCAGCCTTCACGATCGGTGGTTGTCTAAACTGGGCAGCCCTCTTTGTTATCGGAATCGCCTTCCCTTTTGCTGAGGTCAGTTTTCCCCAGCCCCCATTTCTCCAGCCCCTCCACAGAGCAACCACGATTGCTTCAGACACTGGGTTGGGCTGCAGGTAGGGAGATGCACCACCTAGTGACCCATCTGGGCTGTTCACCCAGCCCAGGTCAGTCACTAAATGTGTCTGAAGCTGCTAGAAATAGCAATAATGCCAACAATACAGTTATTTAGCTGGAAGCTAAACCATATGGCGAATGACTGAAGGAACTGGGTATGACTAGACTAATGAAGAGAAGGACTAAGGATGATATGACAGCAATCTTCCAGTTCTTGGGGGGCTCTCACAGAGAGAAGCGGACCAATGTATTCTCCAAAGAATCTGAGGACAGAACCACAAGTAATGTGTGGGAGATCATTAGAGATTCAACATAGAACTAATGAAATTTCTTGACAGGGCGAACATTTAACCAGTGGAATGATTTCCTCCAGAAGCTGTGGGTGTGCCAATGCTGGAGGTTTTTAAGAAGAGATTGGACAATGATTTGTCCAGAATGCATATTTGATCTGTCCTGCTTGACCTCAGTGTTGGATTAGAAGACCTCCAAGGTCCCTTCCAACTATTTTATTCCATGTATTTTTAAATGTCAACTAGACAACCCATGCCCCGTTGGGTCATCATTTCAGAGATATTTCCTATCTGAGTAAAGAAACAGCACAACTATGGATGGACAAAAAAGCAGGGGTAGCAGGAGCAACTTCTGGCTTCCTGCCAGCTTCCCCATTGACTTTCCTTGTGGGAAGCTGGCTGAGAGCATCAAAAATCATCCTTCCTCCTTTCCTCCCTCCCATTCATGTTGGTTTCCCCCTTGACTTTGCTATGGTAAGCTTGCGAGGAAAAAGCCATTGGGGAAGCCTGCAGGAAGTTGCAGGTCCAAGGTCAGCAGGCAGGTAAGTGGCTGCTGCAAGGCGGTGAAGGGATGAGGGGAGTCCCATCTCCAGGTCAGGTGTGAGGATGCATGAGAGGGGCTGTGCAAGGTAGGAAGGGTGCATAGGGGTAGCATAGATGAAGCAGCATGTGTGCGGGTCACAGAGCGGTGTGTGTGATGTGCCACTTGGGTCAGGAATGTGGGGTGCGGGGAGAGAAGAGTGCCTGGAATTGGATGACTATATGAGAGATGTCATGCAGTTCACAGAAGGTGAACAGAATTTGGGGAGCGTGCAGGGTAACTGCATGGGCTAGGAAAGGTTCTTTCCTCCTTTCCTTCCTTCCTCCCACTCAATTTCGCTTTCCAGCAGACAAGTAAGGGGCTTCTGCTGGGTGGGGGATGAAGCAAGGGATTGTGAGAGTGGCTGGGAAACTGTCATAAAATATTAAAAATGAAGATCACATGACCGCAGCAGTAGCCCCAGAGCCAGGAGCACTGAAGCAGCGACAACTTTCCCAAATTTCATTTCCTTGGGAGTCAGGGATCCCAGATTTAGGACATATCGTGTATGTTAACCTATCTGATATACCTTGGCTCTAAAACTGTTGCCTTATGATGCCCAGTTAAAAGCCAGGAAACAAATAATAATAGAGGCATCAGTTAAAGAGACCAAATAAAGTAACTGATGACACAATCACAAATGAGCCTGAATGTCAAAGCTCTGCCTTTAAAAAGTTTCTGCATACTGCAGATGAAGTGGCAAGAAGTTCCGTGGGCGTGTCTAGAGATGGTTCATTTGAATTTCTGCCAAGTTAGCTTCTGTGAATCTTTCTGATAAGCTCTTCCCAGTTGTAGGGACTTCAGTTGTGCTCAGAAACAAAATGCACATGATAACCAAAGACAGCAGATAAATTGAAGCAAAGACATGACATGTAGATAATATGAACCAGGTGTCCAAGCTCCACCCAGAGCAACTTAGAAGTGATGGTATCTGTGCACCATCGTTAACCTGATTACTGGATTTACTCATTTTCAGCAGTCACATTAAGCCATAAAGTTGACAGCATCATACACTGAAGAAATCAAAGTCACTCATCTGATGCACCCTTGTCTCCATCCTCTCTTTTAAATGACCCAGGGATGCTTTCTCTAGATGCAGTTTCTGTTTCGTCACTACTAGACCAGCTTGAACTTTTGGGGATGATGGAGATAAAAGAGGAAATTTGTTCAATGGCCTTCAGACACTAATGAGACCGTTACTGTTTATTGTGTCCATTCCAGGAAAGTCTGGGCCCCTTTTGCTTCCTTCTCTTCGCCATCGTGCTCTCTGGCTCTGGGATATTCTTCTACTTATTCCTTCCCGAGACCAAAGGCAAATCTGCGGTAGAGATCACAGAGGAATTCAGCAAATCGTCTTTGGGAAAGAAACTTGCTGTTCTCCGGAAAAATTTCAACGAGGATCATTCGGTCTACTCCAGTTTTTGAGTTGCATCTGCCGAGGAAGATTGAAAAGGGTACGGGCATCACCAAGGGCTCTGCTGCCGAGATGAACGTTTCGCCTCCCTTGTGATACAGCAGTTTTGGCTCCTGGGAAGGCCCAGGTCTCCCCCACCCCCCGGTCCCCGTCCCCCCCGGGAAGTGTCACTCTTCATTTGAGTCTGAGCACAATGGCTGCCTACAAGTACAGACAGCCATCTTGCAACCCCTTGTCCTTTGTGGCATTGAGGTGTCCTCCACTTCTTGCTGAGCACTTCTAGATCCCTCCCAACATGTTGTCCCTGTTGCCACTGCTTGCTGGCTTCATTTCTGCTCCAACTCAAATCCTTTTCCTGCCCATCGTTTTCCTTATTGTTTTTCACTTGTTGGAAAAGCAACTCATGGCTCTGCTCAAATCTCAGGTCAGTCAATTAAACCAACCTGGTTAATGTGTAAAAATGGCTGCTTGGAATTATTTCCTTTCTTTCTTTCTTTCTTTCTTTCTTTCTTTCTTTCTTTCTTTCTTTCTTTCTTTCTTTCTTTCTTTCTTTCTTTCTTTCTTTCTTTCTTTCTTCTTTCTTTCTTTCTTTCTTTCTTTCTTTCTCTCTTTCTCTCTTTCTCTCTTTCTCTCTTTCTCTCTCTCTCTCTCTCTCTCTCTCTCTCTTTCTTTCTTTCTTTCTTTCTTTCTTTCTTTCTTTCTTCTTTCTTTCTTTCTGCTTTATGACTTGAAGTATTTACCCTTAAACAAATGACATACCCAAGGGTTTTACTAACATTTTATTTCTGAGCAATTTGAAACATGCTAACAGCAAAATGAAAAAAAAACCAGTAGCTCAGTTCCAAGATGCTCCCAGTCCAAGTCCAATTCACTCAAAACATGGGCAAAGGGGCTGAAACACTTGGCTCTCAACTCAATTCCTAGGTTATTTCTTCTTTCTAAACTACAGCTGTGCAGTATTGCCTAAGTGTCCATTAAGTAATTTTTATCAAATCTCCACTTAGAGCAGGGAAAGGTAACTTTTACTTCAGAATTCGGGTTTGGGGCCTGACAGGGCCTCTTTCCGGAGCCCAACTGAAGTTAAAGCAACCATATTCAAAGATCCTGGAGCACCGGGGAACTACCAAAGGACTGGAAAAGAGCTGGTGTGGTTCCCATCTTCCAAAAAGGAAAAAAAAAATGGATACAAGAAACTACACCCTAATCAGCTTGACATCAATGCCTGGGAAGATTCTGGAAAAGATAATCAAGCAACAGATTTGCAAATACCAAGAAACAGGCAAAGCTATTACCAGAAGCCAATATGGGTTTGTTCAAAACAGATCACGCCAGACAAATCTTTATCCTTCTTTGATAAAATGATTACAGTGATTAAATCAGAAGAACAACAAAATCAATCAATCAGAATAGAGCTGGAAGGGACCTTGGAGATCTTCTAGTCCAGCCCCCTGCTCAGGCAAGAAGCCCTATATCAGGGGTGTCAAACTCATGGCCCGCGGGCCAGATGCATCATGTGCTAGCCACCCCCACCGCCCGGTTTAGCAAGGGGGAAAAAGTTCACAATACCTCACATGATAACAGTGTGATGCCGCGAGTTTGACGGACCCACTGCAACATAATGGCCACCACTCCCAACCTTGCAGGCAACCCAGATAGTGTGATAGTGTGATCCACAATACTGGAGGCTTCTGAGAGATCCAGAGAAAGGTGAGTGTGCTCCTTTCATCTAATTCCTCATAAAGGTTTTCCATGAGATCGATCAGTGCTGCTTCCACTCCACATCCCTTGGCTTGGGTCTGGACTGCCGAGGTCCAGATAGCCTCCTCCCTTCCATTGTCCCTGGCAGCTGCTACACGATCACTTTCCAGGAAGGAAAGGTTTGGAAGTGGAGCAGGTACTATTTAAATCTGCTGGGTTCAAGGCAGATTGTGGAGGAGACAAACTGGGCCCCTCCAAGGCTACGAGGACCTTCTCTCTTGCCCATTCCTTTTGACTGCAGAGCCAACTTCCCCTCCTCAGGATCCACAGACTCAAAAATACCTGGGTTACACAGCAAGGTACCTGCCTTCAACTTCTAACCATCCAGGTTCTTAACTGGATTATTTATGTTAGATCGGGTAGATCGGTTCCCACAGAGACGCGAGACCAAAGTGTACATTCAGCTCTTTATTTCCGTGTTAAGACCTGTACAAGATCTTGGAGCTGCGGCAGCCCTTCATATAGGGATTGCTCGCGGCTCGGCGGCCAATGACAGCGCTTTGAATCTCCCGCGATCGGCTCGGCCAATCGCGGTTGATTCTAAGCGCGCCAATCACGGCCGTTCAGTCGACCAATCAGGTCGCGGTCCGTGTGGACCAATCAGAATTCAGTGTTTGGAGAATGCTAATATAGAACAATTTACAAGTGATTTCATTCAAAAGCACCAGCCAGACACTGACAGTGAACAATTGATTGGCAGCTTCCCTTCCCTACTTCCCTTCTTTACAACATACAATCATTATACTCTGGGTTTCTCTCTCCTCCACCACCAACCCCCATATTGCTGGAATCCACCTCAGCCCATCTAGCTATAGTCCAAAGGGGTTTTCTCAGCACAGGCAGTCAGGAAACTCCTTTCGGGTTCCCACCTCCCACCCAGAAGCCCGGCTCCCAAGCTTTGGTCCCAGAATCGATCTCCACACTTTACAACCCATCAGGCAATGAAAATCCTTCTTTTCTGGATGTCAGCATCCACCCTGACCATCTCCAACCCAGCGTCCCATTTCTAATCTTCTCCCCTCAACAATCCAGCTTTGTTGCTGCAAAAATTCCACACCCTTCTTCCTCTGCTTCAATCACCATCAAGAAAGCTTCTCACTGGAAGAGTGCAGGCAACTGTCTATGAACCTATCACTCCTTGTTGATTTCTGCACTGGAAACCAGTCGCTGACCCCTGGTCACCACAGCTTGTCACCCACTGTGGCATGACTCTTGGCTCTCCAGTCCCCCCAGCATCATGAATGCAGAGAGGTGAGACTTGGGTTAGAAACCAACTCTTGGCCTCACTTCGCATTTCAAATTCTTGGAGGATGAGAATCAGCCTACACAAAGTCTATTGAAGCAGGCTTTGTAACTTTAATAGAATATGGATTCCTTTATAGGAAATATATGAAGTAAGCAGCAATCTAGCCCCTAGGGAGCTACGTCCTACTAGGAGATGATTCAACAGTGTGATGCAATTGCAAAAAGAAAAAGCAGGCGAAAACCTAAGCTTGTTGCCTGAAGTCTAATGTCCAAATTTTAAAAAAAATCATTGTTAAATCCTCTCCATTCCATTCCTAAAACGCTGCCCCAGTTCTGAACTTGCATCTCTGAAAGGCCAGTGACTAACTAGAGGTGTGCGGAGGAGAGCAACACAGATAAAAAGAGGCTGGGGAAAAAAACCTATGGAGGGGGGATATGGGTTGTTTTTAACTGAACAAGACTGCTGGGAGTGGTCTTTAATATCTGAACACTGTCAAGTGGAAGATACAGCAGAATCATTCAAAATTACTCCAGGAACAACAAGAAACAATAAGTTTAAATTATAAGGATGTAGATTTGATTTGAAATCAAAAGAATTTCCTGTAGTAAGAGTTGCTCAGCAGTGAAGTCAACGGCCTGCTTGGGAGGAGGTCTTCCCTGAAGGTGTTGTAAAAGAGGATGGATGCTAGATCAGTGCATTCCTGCAGGGAGAAGGGATTATGGTCCTGTAATTCAAGAGCAGAAAACAAATGCGCGTGAGAAGAAATCATATCAACAAAGAGTAGGCAGGCATCCTATCAACAGATACAAACCACAGGCATTCAAAGGAATTCCTAGTCATCTACAGCCCCTATGCTGAACAGGGATGACATGTTGAGAGACGGGGGACTCGGATCTTCAGCCTTTGGACTCCCTCTGGTGAATCCAGAAGGAGCTGGAAATTGGAAAGTTTAAAAAGATAAGGGAAATGTGGTATTAGCTGTCAAACTCTGACTGTTGACTTTGGTGGCACTCCATCTGTCCCAGTGCAACTGAGATGGCGCCCTTTGAAGTGGGGAATTCCAGCAAGGGGATGTTGGAGAGATCCAACAGCCGCTGCAGGCCGTGACTACAGAAGAGATCTCTCTGAAGCCTCTTCTTCCCATCATGCTTCGTCACAGAGTCTACGGACAGCCTAAACCCAGCAGGCAGATGCACCATTTCATCCGTTGCTCTTGAAATCCTTACAGTGAATGATTAACCGGGCAATTTGGGATTACACCAAGAAATGAAATAAAGAGTCCAAAGTCCAGGGCTGCCTTCTGTTAGAGACAAGACCCAGAAGAGCTCCAAGCAGAGATGGCACTGATCTTCTGGGATGTGGTGAGTACAAGCCAGACAAGGCTTCCTGGCATCCCATCCCAAGGGGCTGCTAAAGGCACAGCAGCAGCTACTTCCAGGTCACCCAGAGCCCCCTGGAGCAGATGCTGCATTGGGCGTCTTCCCTGACCTTCCATCCCTGCAAAACGCAGCATGCCGGTTTTGAGGGATTCCGCCCAGGCGTGAAATTGGGCTTAAATCAGGGTTCCTCCTAGTGGTTAATATTGACCCCATGGGCTGATGGGACTCGTGACAGGGGTCACTGGTTGTAGTAATAGTAGTAGTAGTAGTAATAGTAGTAGTAGTAGTAAAATTCAAAAATCAGACCCTATACTATTCCAAAAATGGCTGTCCAATCTTTTCTTTTTTTAAAAAAAAACACGTTTTTATTTTTTACAACAAACATACGAACAAAACATAAAAAACATAAAACCATCTTTCAATTATATACATACAGTGTGTCAGTTGGTTACAATCTTTTGTGCTATCCTTTTTTTACCATTACTCACAAGTTATATAAATTCTTACCTTATCGATCTAGCTTGTGCTTATATAATATCAATTATTAAACATTCATTTGACTATTTTTTCCATCATTTTATATGAGATATTCTAATTTTCATTATGATTTAATCTTATGCATTCATCCAATGGT